TTTTTTAGGTGTATGAGTGAATAGTACCCTTCTGAACGACGTTTACTCACTCATAAAGAAAGCGTGCCAAACCGGAACAAACACGGACAAATAATGCAACGGACGCACGCACGCCTGCTAACGTTCGAAGTGGGTCAGTCATTTTACGAGAATTTTGTTTTGCAAGAATTTTGTTTTACGAACTACACATTTTGTTTTGCAAGTCAAACATTCTGTTTTGCCACTACAATCTTGCGTAATTCTTTAACAGTAAAGCTAGTGGTTTGTTTGTAATTTTTGGAAGATTTCTGTTTGTTTTTAATTTTTTCAGTTTTTTATTTTCAATTTTTGTACATTACTATTTTTATTTACTGTGTAGATTTTTATTTTATCTCTTCTTTTCAACTGTATTAATTTTTATTTATGTTTATTTTTTTCTTGTTTTCTTCTTTATTTTTTCCATCTCATTTAGTTCTTCATTCATTTCACTGTTTAATTTAGTTATTTTAAGTTGTGTTTTTTTACTTTATGTTATTTTTTTGTTATTTTACTTTATTTTGTTATTTTATGTGGTTTTATTTCATTTTTTAATTTTGTCTTATTTAATTGTATTTTGTTTTATTTTTTGTTAGGCTATTTGTTTTTATTTTGTCTTTATTTAAATCTATGTTGTTTCATTATTTTTGTTTTCTGTTTTATTAATTTTGTTTTTATTTTTCATGTTGTCTTTTTTGCCCCGATTGCCGCCCAGACTCGCTCGCCTTGAACACGCGCAAAACACAGAGCTTACTGCATTGTACCTACGCATACACAGAGCGCTACGCTCCGCCCATCCTGTTTACGTCACAGGACATGTACACACTACTACTCTTGTCTAGTCCTCATAATTATGCACAACAACAATTACGAAAGTTCGTACACTTTCCGCTACAATATCAAATACAACGGGTGGCGCGCATCGGTTTATAAAGTTAGGCCTTCTGGGAGTTCTTGGTCGTCATGGCTGAGCACGGAGAAGGGTCGATGTCGAATGAGTTTGCTCTCGACGACGACTCCGAGACGTTCTGTCCGATACAAGATGCACCGATACTCAATCTTTCGGATCCGAGTCTCGCTACTCGGTACGAGTATGACTCAGTTCAGACAGCATTGGTCACCATCGTTTACCCTTGCATCTGTGTTTTCGGTATTCTGACCAACTCAGCATTCCTGTTCACAGTTGTTCGGGTGCCGTACATGAGGACTATAACCAACATCTATCTAGGTAATTTGGCGGTGTCGGATATCTTGTTTCTATCCACAGGTAAGACATTATGATTAACGCCAGGGCTACTTTAGGGTACGTTCTCCACCAATTTCTCTTCTTTATTGTACTTGTGTTGAATGCGTTTGTCGTTTTTATTTGAATAAGCTCCACTGAATTCGAAACTTTGCTTTTATTCCTAATATCTGAAATTATTTTGTTAACAATTAACTTCTTTCTTGAGCTGGATGGAGTCCGCAGAGATGTTTCAGTAGTTACACTTTTATAAGTTTTAAAGTAACTCATCTTTGCGGTAATTTTGGCACTAATTTGTACAAATCAAATTTGTGCAGCACGTATTTTTTTCGAGACAGGTTAGCCAAAATGTATACTTTTCCACTGCAGCACTCATTCTGTACGGGTACCAGGAAGTTGTGGGTTCTAATACTACCAGAACAAATTGATTTTTTTGGTGGAGGGTGCACAACTCCTGGACCACACTGAGAATACATTGTAAACGTATATACGTTCGTGTGGGGGTATACTCTGATATGAGATCCGTGGACAGTGTGCTGTTTCCACCTTTTCGGGTTGGACAATATGACAATATTCGGCTCACTAATTTATGCATTATATACAGGCAGTGCGCATGTGAGTGCGTGTAAAATGCCCAACGTACAACTGTTCATGCCTGTATACCTGCATGCACGATGCACAGAATTAACATGCATAAAAGGGGAATTAAGCCAGTCATTCGCATTTTGTATTCAATGATGTGACGTGCATATAAGGCTCCTTTGTGGGCAATTGAACACTCATGAAACCTGAGCGCAAAGAGGTTTAATGCATCTTTTCAGAATTTTCAGCGGGCACTGAACCTTCGAGGAAATCAGTGGAAAGCCACGCGTTTTTAGTCTTGCAAACGCGGTACAAGTATCTTTCACGGTGTTTGCTGTACATGATATTGAAACCAGCCGAATTCTAACTATTCTTTTAAATATCATGCAAATCAAATGATTTTAAGGCCTGGTGAATGGCAAAATGTTTTTAAAGACGTGTGGTTGTCTTTGAGTTAATGATTTTGGTAGTGTATAGAGTGCTTTGTGCAGTGCAAACCTTTGATGCATCTGGTGCAAAGCAATTTCTGACAAGATGCATTAAACCACTTTGCCCTCAGTCATTCGTGGCAGAAATGTGGATTTCATGATGTCATAAGAAAGAGGACATCATACTGAAACGGATTATAATTTTAGGGGCCATTCCAAAATTCCTGTCAGCTATGTGTCAGACAGAAAGGTCCGACTGATACCTGTACTATCAGTTATCAGGTGAAGTGTTCTCAAGTGGCCAGTTCATAACCGATAAATGCCTTACGCTTGACTGATACCATGATGCCAAGGCTATGTGGTTTCAGTAGCCCAACACCCTCTCCATTATTCACTCAACACAAGTAACTGTTGACGGATAACCCATGTGTGGCTGGTATCGTAGTTAAATGAAGTGAACACCGTTGGTTTTTGTCGTAATTTCACAAGATTGGCTGATTACGGTGTATAATATTCATTGCAACTTACATTCCACTGACTTGTTCAATGTTTTAGTCAAGTGCTTTGTGAAAAATCGAGAAAAACAGAGCGGCATTGTAAAGGTTAAATCGAGGGTCATGCGTCAACAGGCGTCAACATGAAATCGTCAACAAAATATTCAAGCAGTTTTATGCAAATATTTTATATCTACATTAGTAAGGCTCCTACATATCATATTCAATGTATTGTGTTATCGAAAATGATATTTGAGGATGTAAATTATTTGAGCGACAAATTCGGGCCTGCTCGTGCAGCCCAACCGGCCGCCATCTTGTTTTCGCGTGGAAGGTAGATAGGGTCCAGTCCACTAATTCAAGCCCCATTGAAAAGAGTGTAAAATCAGCACCGTTCAGGGCCAAATAGCATGCGCGCCAACATCCCTGAGATTTCTGAAACACAAATGAAATTCTTATCTGGTCACTTATCTTTCAATTTCTTTTCAATTTTTTATGGGTTAACCAATTACATTTTTAATTATTTCCACAAAACAAAATCACCCCCCAAAAAGTGATTTTTCCGAAGTCTGATTGCAGCCATTTTTCAAGTGGCAACCTTCAACATTCTCGGGCACATAGGACCATTTTTCAACCGTAGTGTTTAGCCCTTCTGCTCTCATATGAAAGCTCAAAGACCCAGGGAGTTCATCCTGGCAACGATTTACACAATCTCACCATTTTGGGGGCCAAACAATCTCCTTTTTATGCTAATGAGCTGGCCAGACATTCTCACTTGAATTAGTGGTCTGCACCCTAGACGGTAAAGAAAGATGGCGGCCTCCATACATCGCGAAAAAGTTTCGCTTTTCTGAGTTAATCTGCAAGCAAATTCGATGTTTCTCTTACACAGTGGTAGGTCTTAGAGTCTCTAGACTATGATAAAAACCACTTTTGAAATTTTTAAAAAGGTGTAGATGTAGCGTTTTGGGTTCTGGACAAGATGGACATTGTGAAGCACTTCTTTGGAATAAAGTGCATAAGCCATGTGTCTTGCCAGTTTTCAAGCTCCCTAAGATCATCTTGAAGTATGGTTGTGTCTTTAACTGATTTGATGAGTTCATACAGGAAGCAATTATTTGCAAATAGTCAAACGTTCGATGTGATTTTTCCCGGTAAGTAGTTCATGCGAACTAGAAACAGTAATGGACGAAGGACTGTCCACTGTGGTGACCCTGAAATGACCTTAACTGATGATGAAGTTGATCCATTTACCACTACCTGTTGAGTTCTACCAACCAGAAAGCTGTTGATCCATGTAGCAAGTGACCCTCTAATTCCATAATGCTTAAACTTGCGGATTAACCTACGATGAGGGACTTTGTCGAATGCTTTTTGTGAAATCTAATATAGCAATATCGACTGCTTGTTTCTCATCTAGAGCTTTAGTGATGTCATGGATTGTGAGAATAAGCCGAGTTTCTGCTGACCTTCAGCTCGAAAGCCATGTTGACAATCAGAATATGATGTTTGTCAAACTGCTTCATAATATGACTGTGCAATATGTGCTAAAGAAGCGTGGAGATGACTGGGGTCAACGAAACTGGTCGGTAGTTGGTGCGGATGACAGCTTCGGCTCTTTTGCCCTTTTTAAAGAGGGCAGTAACGTAAGCCTCCTTCCAAGCCTTTGGCACTTGACCTGTTAATGAGTCGACAGAAAGTTGGAAAAGGTCTTTCAGGATCGGTGCCAGCTGTTCAGCGAAAGTCTTCAAAAACCGGGGTATCCTATCTGGGTCTTGAGACTTTGATGGGTTGATTTTCAGAAGTTGGTCCATGACTCCTTTCGTTGAAATGACTTAAAGACCGTACTTTCACGTCAGTTTACACGTCGATGAAAGTCTGAAAACCCATTCCCAGTTGGTTCACTAATAGTAATAGAATAAATTATGTCTTGAAACACGGACGTTTAACGTGTAGAAATAGTACTTTTTGTTGACGAAAGTCCATTTCACCACTTTGCTCGGAAACGGCCACCATGTTTGGATCATACCATTATGATTTTGTATTCGCAAAGTTTTCGTGTTAAGAAAATCATTTCCTTAAATAAAATTTCACTTTATAAAAAAACGGATCTAATTTATTTCCTACTTTACACCTTACACGTCGGTTCCTGTAATTTCAGTTTACAGTACTTTTGCTGAATTTCTGTCGGTTTATTTTTAGCTGCTTTTAGATTTACCCGTTCATTAATGGAGACTCCCACAACATAAATTTGAAAACACCACACACGTCCACAAGAAAAATGGCGCCTGTTAAAGAATGTGATATGCGAAGTGAAATGAACTGTTATAGTTATATACGATTAGTCAGCCGACTATCGTAAAAAATAAAAAGACAAGAAATTTCTGTTTTCTCAAAAACAACAGCATTCTGGGCGGAACATTTTTACAGACTGATTGAGGTTGTTATGTACTTTCTATTAAACAAGTTATTTCAGGATTATATTGTAATCCGATTTCGGGATTTTAACAATGGTGTACACCACCTTTAATGACCCTGGCTCCTTTTTCTCAATGCAAGGCTGCTTTCCATCAGTATTTCTCTGTGATTTTATTCCATAATATTTTTTGCTGTGTTGCTGTGTTGCCACAAATTATTATTCTTTACAATTGATCGAGGTCAGAGTAAAGTGCAGGAAGGGTTTAAATCTAACGTGATACTGAAAAAATCCTTGCATAGTTGTTCAACAACTTCCAGGTATTATATAATTCAACTTCGGCAATGATGTATTTTAACTTCTCGAAAATATTTTGGAACACCTTATCTTCTTTCTTCCCTGATGTGTGAGGTTATGTGGTTATTAAAAACATGTACTGGTACATTTTTGTGTGTGTTGCAGATAATGTGGGATTGATCGATATCAACGTTGAATTATTCTCAATTTTAATTCAATCGACACACCAGCACGAAATTAAAAAGCAAGAGAGGGAAAATTTCAAAAATATATTATAATGGATCATGCATATTTCCCACACTTCAAAGAATGAATTATAGAGTCTACTGGAAATATGTTATACAATTGAAACTTGTGCAAGGTCACATATGCATGCAATGAAATTTAACATACACTCCTATACTGTTTACAGTCATGTGCAAGCCCGACTCATTCAAACAGGTAATGTGCACAATAGACAGATTAATTACAATTTGCGGGTATACATTTCTATTTCTGGAAGCTGCCAATACTTGATAGCCAGAAATCACTGTCATAAATGGTATTTCTGTGGAACCGAAGTGCATATAAATTTTAATAGCCATGTAAATGTGCATGAAAACATTGCTAAATGCTGTACAGTGTAGATTGTGCCTTTCGTTTCTACAAAAATCAGTTTTGCCAAACACCTTTGGGGAAAACATCAACCTGAAAAATTTTCACAACGTCTTTTAATAAAGTGAGAATTTGAAATGTTGATATTACGTTTACGAAAGGACAAAATGAATCAGGAATAAATTGTTATATACCCTGCCCATAATAATTTTCATGGCTGAAAAACATAAGTGCATGATTTGGGCATGATTATTATGTAGAAAAAAAGCTGACATGACATGGAAGTCAAGCCCAAAGCCAAATAAAACTCCTGCAATAAATTATTATTGTACATGTATATTGGATAAGGAACCAAAATTGCAAAATAAAAGTAACGTATTTAACTCCCTATAACCCCAAACTAGGCTAATGGTTACCATTACCTGATGTCATCAGTCAACACCCAACTAGCCACCTGTCCTCCAGGCCCCTAGGCCCCAAAGCAATCCCCCACACTTCATTCCATCCTATACACCAACCGATGACCACAAGGAAAAGTGATGTGGTGGTTATTGGTCCATCATTATCGGTCGGATAATTTGATGGGTTCCGTAAAAATGAGCAGTTCTTCTAAATTGACATTGTTCAAATTCAAAGAAAAACGGCACATGGCACTCAATTTTTTATTTCTTTTTCATATCCAGAGTATTCATCAGCAACCTTAATTAAGACATTAATATGATATCTGTTTTAGCATTACATGCGTAACTTGGTTGAAAATGTCCCCATAAAAACCTTTCCTTTTCTAGAAAGTTGTATTTCTTATAAAGTTAGCCACGAGCGCCCAGCCGTAAAATTTTCATGAACGGTTTCGATTGAAATTTCGTGGAAACTCTTTGTTAGTAGTTTACTAAAGACCCTTTTCTTAGTGGTTTTTCTTTATTTTCACAGGGGCGGGCTTTGGCCTTTGGAAGTTCTTGTCGACTCCAGTGACGAGTGATTTCTCCATTCTTGGAGGAGTCCACGGCTGTATCATTACACAGGTGCTGAATACGACACCCTTTGTCGCTTCAACATTACTTGTGACTGTTGTAGCGGCCGAAAGATACCTTGCCATTTGTCAACCAATTAAACATCTAAGTATCAACTCAAGAGGGCGTACTACGGCCTTAATTGCTGTGACATGGGCAATGGCCATCTGTTGCGAGGCTCTTCTGCTTCCGGCTACGTCCGACTACAAAGTTACATGTGTCATATGGCCTGACGACGATCACTTCATGAACTTTCCTCAGACGATCGCCAGCTGCTTTTTCCCAGCACTTTGGGCGCAGGTACTGGCAGCTTTTGCTCTTACTGTGCCTAACTTGTTGGCTGTCATTGTTACCTTTGTCTTGTACTTTCTTATTGTGCGAGAGCTCAGCAGCCGGATTTGCAAGGCGCCCAGCGAACAGTCCTCGAATCCAGGGAGATCTCGGCGCACCCGAGATCGCGTAGCTAAGATGCTGGTGATCGCTGGCACCGTGTTCTACATGCTCCTAACCCCTCGCACCGTGTTGACACTTTACTATTACGTCAAGCGTTTCGCTGGTGCCCCGGGCCTTCCTCAGAGAGTGGAGTTCATACTCTTCATTTCAACTAATGTTCTTCTTTACGTGAATTCTGTGACCAACCCTATCGTTTATGCGTTTTCAAACAGGCGCTATCGAAAGGCTATTATTCACGCATTTTGCCCTGGTTCAGGACCTATCGACAGTTCTAGTTAAACGTAAAGACCATGTTGCAGTGACATGAGGAATCGAGCTCGAACTCGGGTTCGATCATAGTCTTGGTCACGACGTTGTTGTGTTGTTGATACGCCACCGAGAGGGCGCTCACAAGCTGAATAGCTGGAACGCACGAACCGCAACTAGCCACGCCAGCAACAGTGTCTTGGGAAGTTGGTCATACCTCCCTCCGAAAAGGGGGGGGGCACTGCACATTTTTCTGTTCACGCAAGTGCATACACGTTGAACAGCCGAAATGAAGTTGCACAATAGTCTGCTAATCTTGCACGGCACTATTTGAAAGTTGTGTTCGATCGTGAGTGTATAGTACATATAGGACTTGCCGCTGCTGGCCGGCTTGTCGACGGTCCGACGCGAATTATGGACAGTCACATTATCATGGCGGCTAAGTTTCCAAGCCCGGACTCTACCTGACAGCACAGACCACGATGGTGTATGATTTTTAATAAGGGGTTAATTGTAAGCCTACATGTAAATGTAAATGTACATTCACATACTAACAGGAGTCAGGGGAGTAGATAGATCACGCATGGTGCATTTTTAAAGTGTGATACATATTCAGGCAGACAATTTAGCGTGGGTCATGTATTATGCTAATTATGTGCGCTATTTTGTACGATACAGATTTGACCAACTTCCCGAGACGTTGTTTTGGCGTGGCTAGTTGCGGTTCGTGCGGAAGTTGCCTTGCTGCTGCGGGTTGCATTACACGAAATACGCGCCCACAGAAAACAGTGAAAAATCGGACCGAAATAGCGCCGCCTTTTGACTCTCATGAAGGGGTTGGCCTCCGTTTATTTACTGGAAATCCAAGATTATGGCCAGAAGATCACTTTTCGTCCCAATTTCATGGTGGTTAGCCACGAAAATCTTTTTTATTCGCCTTTCAAGGAAGATACTCCCCAAACAGCAGTAGAACTAAGGGCTCATTTCTGAATGTAGCCTTCCGCCTCTATCTAAAATAGGCCCGCAGTTTGGGGCTTTTTGTGAAAGAAATACCCCGAACTGGAAACTATCAGTCCAAAATTCGGGGTTTATAGAAATATTTCTATGATGCCTCCTGATTATGGCATGTTTTATTGTAAAAATCCCAGAGGGGTAAAAATATTAATGAGCTCACGTGCAGAAATGCAACCATTTGGTGAAATGCACCCTGCAGGAATCCAACCCGCGCACCTCCATCTTTGATGACCTGACACAGACTAAACTGCTTAGGGTGCACTGAACCAATTGAAGCTCCAAAACAGTGTAAAATCAACCAAGTTTGGCAGACATGGCAGACATCTGAAGTCCCTGAGGCCTCTCAATTAAAAAACAATGTGTTGTTTTGTTTGGTCCTTCAGATTTCATTTGATTTTCAATTTTTAGTAAGTTAACCAATGGTTTTTTTAATTATCTGCCAAAAACAAACTCACCTCCCAAAAAGTCAATGTTCCCAAGTCCTCTCAGCGGCCATTATTCAAATGACATCCCTCACCTTCCTCGGGCTCTTCTGAAAAATTTTCAATCACATTTTTATCTGCTTTGCCCCCAGATGGGTGCCCCTGAATACTTGCACAATCTCACCATTTCTTGGCCCAAACAGACCCATCTTTTCGACAGAATATGTGGGAGGTACTTTTTGTGCGCCTCCGCCAGGCGGAAAATTTTCCTTGAATTGGGGCACTGCACCCCTCAAGGTACATATGTGCACTAAATTTGACTCAAGTCGGGATCTCTGTGACTTCTTCGTTTCTGCTTGGATACCCTTCGAACGAGACTGCGCGCTGTTACTTGCTTCGCGCACCCTTGTGTCCACTTATTACTATAAAGTTCAGTTCAGAAATCCCGAAGTTAAGAATCTGCTAACCGTTTGTGCACAGCGAATGGGCTTATCTACCAGAAGTGGTAGTAGCCAATCACACTGCCGGACTTGTTTTTACGTCATTCATACCTGCATTAATTATAATGAACAAGTATACAAGTCTGACTACTTTGATAGGTGGAAATTCCGTCAAGATTATGCCGTCATGCATTATGAATAACTAGCCTACTTATCACCGACGAGGAGATTCGATTGGCTTTTCCGTCAAGTCGCTTACCGATGACAGGTGACGTACTACACACGTTGTACAAGAAAGGCTAAATGAGGGCGCCTTATAAGGGCTATGCGAGTTGCCAGGCCGAGCCACGGGCGCATTAAAAAAAACCTGGACTTGCAACACCTTTGTATGAAAAAGAAGCCAACCAGCGGCCATTTTACCGAGCCGAATACAAATGCGTGGGTTGGCTCGCTTCTATTGACGCCAGGGAGAACAAAGTCGGGCATTGCCGGGCAAGCTTTGTATTTGGCTCGGTAAAATGGCCGCTAGTGGAGCCAATGATCTCTATAAGGGCGCCCTTATTACATTCTGTGGTTCTCATTTCTTTTACCACTTGAAATAAGGTCGGTCGGTCGAAAAAAATTCCATGTTGCTGGTGTATAAATGACTGAATAAACCAGGCCAAGTGCACAATGTACATATATTCTTGTTACTTGTTTTATTGAGTATTCTCTGCCACATCTTGGACCCAGGTTGGGACTACCATAATCATACCCTGTGATTTTACTTTGACCTTGCAACTTACGAAGGTCACAACAGTGGAAGCCGCCATGTTGAATGGCATGATCAGCGCGCGTAGCAACACGAGTAGACTTGTCTTTTATCCTCATTTTTGCGTGTACAGGGGCCTTTTTGTTCTCTCTGCATTTATATATATATATATATAAGTATTAAACAAAGAGAAATGAATGAAAAAATCGAAAAAACACGTTTTGTGTGTATTCTTGCATGCAAATGGTTATACATGCTCTAATTGTTACCTGAAGCTACAAAACATACCGCGCTGAACTGAGGAAGTCTAATGCTACTGGTCGGTACCATGCTGCTCACAATGAAAATCCCCTTGTACGAGTCCGGGTCAAGACAAGTGTAGGGCTATGCACGAACCTCAGTGGGCAACGGAAAGGTGCGGTAACCGAATGTTCACGCGAACGCCGACCGTCGCTGTTGGTCGTTTGCAAATCGCACGTTTTCAGGGCTTAATTGTTTTCAAAGGTCACGCTGGACAATTTTTTCCCTTCAGTTTTTTTTTTTTTGGGGGGGTGGTCTTTTTAGCGGGATCGGCGGGGACAAAAAGCTTTTTTTTCCGTGATTGGGAGCCATTTTCCTTCTTTTGATGCTCCCTTTGCTTTCCAAGGGATCCAATCAGCGATCACGAAATGGTTTTTCATTCGTGTGAATGTTTGCGTGGTCACGTACAGCAGGTGGTGATTAAGCGTACTCGTGGATAGCATTCAGTCGAGGTGCGCGGCAATACGGGCGTTTCAAAATAGTGCGCCACAAGGAGATTGCAATGCGTTGACCAATCAATATGCGCGAAATTTATCGACCCGATGTGCGTTCGGAAAGGGTCGACAAATAACGCGCGCTGTGATTGGCCAACGCGTTGCAAACTCATGGTGGCGCGCTATTGTGAATCGCACCTTTCAGACAGGAAGGCCAAAAAAAGTCTCCGGCTTCTGGTCACCACGCGTCGCCGTATAGACATGCGCGCCAGCAAAATAAAGAAGTTTTTTATTTTGCATTAAATGTTTTCCCGAAAGCCGCCAAACTTACTTTATCGGCAGGAATTCTGCTACCGCGTAAGTTTAACGTGTTTTTGATGGGTGTATGGGGTTGAGTAATATGTACGGTGAAGGAATCCTCCAAAGCCTCTCACATTTCCGTCGGGCACTCTGATCAGATGACGTCATTCGTGTATCTTTACATGAAAACCGTGTTCGAATCAGTTGGCTGCATAGCTTGATACTACGCATGATTCTGTGGGAACTGGCCGTGGGTGCTGCCAAATACTCGGTGTAATTTCCGGCCGTAGTCAGTTGATTTGGACCCTGGCCCACGTCTGTGAACCAGACAAACAAAGTGGTCTTACGTCCCGCTTAAGTATACAACTTGAAAACGCTTTTAAGCAGCAAAACGTGAGGGGCCAGTCTATTTCAGTGTTGGTACATACGCATGCAGTGCATGCAGTGGCGATGGACGTCACGTTATGACAACCATCATGTAACAACTCATACATCGCCACTTACCAAGAACAAAGGTAGATTCGAGTGAGAGGAGATTTGTTTTCTGAGCTGAATTTTTCCCCAAGATTTATATGTAACTTGTTTCTTAAAGACTAAAACAGAAAACAATGTGCACAGTACATGTATATCTTTTACATTATGAACATTTCTTTTGTGGCAGGAAACTGGAGCTGAATATTTATTTTTTAACATTTAATTTTTCCATTGTGGTTGAGCTACTGTATTTTAACAAGTTCAATCTTGCCAAGAATAGAAACCTCTTGTTTGAGATGACTGAAACCATTGCCTCTCATCATATTTCATGGTCTTTTATTCATTCAAAGTTGTTAATTCACACTTTTCATAGTGATAAGGACATGGGCTCTAAAGTGAATGTGCAGGCACATCATTTCTAAGGGGAAAAAACCGCGTCACCACTCCACTTTTGGACCAAGCCTATGAGTTGAAACCGGATTTTTTGTGGGGGCCTAATACAGTGTAGTACAGGCGGTACAGTGTAGTACAGAAAAAGAGCAGTACCTGTTGGTGTCAGTACAGCTGAGCATAATGTGTCACGTGCGCCTTGATTGAAGGCTAAGTAATGGAAGACTTTGATACGCTTGGGTAAGACAAAAATTATACCAGGCACGAAATGGGAAAGACGGGTCCCCCCCACATAAGTCCAATCCCTATACACACTCCAGCCTATTGTCACTTATCACACCCCCCAGATGTCTGAAAAGAATTCCTTTGATACCAGTATAACAATGACCAACACAAAGGCGGGGGGGTTCCCTCTGTCCTATAGTTTGCTTCATATGACAAACATGCCAATCCTTTCAGTGTGCATTCCACCAAATAGTTGTATATCTGCGCGCGAGCTCATCACTTGTTTTGTGATCCCAAGGGATTTTTACAATAAGACAAACCATAATCCGGAGGGATCATTGAAACATCTCTATAAATCCCGAATTTTGGATTATAGTTTCCAGTTTGGGGTATTCCTTTCACAAAAATCCCCAAAATGCGGGCATATTTTGGACAGAGGCGGGCGGCTATTTTCAGGGCTGAGTGCATAGTTTTACTACTATGGGCGGGGGGGGGCATCTTCGGGGAAAGGTGAATAAAAAAGGTTTCGTGGCTAACCCCCATAAAATTGAAATGGAAAGTGATCTTATGGATAAAATCTTGAATTTCCAGTGATACAACGGCGGCCAACCTCTGAACGAGAGTCAACAGGCGATGCTATTTCTGTCCGATTTTGCATTGTTTTTTATTGGCGCGTATTTGGTGTAGTGCAACCTGTAAAGACAAGGTGGCAGCGCCCATGGAAACAGCCCAAAAGGGGGCGCCCTGTCCTTTTTTAGTGCTTTTGTATTCACGGGTAGAGACAATGAGCATTTTTGTCTTTGGAAGTTGTCACAGCAGTAAAGATTACAGCCAAATATCAGAGAAATGTACGCTGTGTCTCTTTGGAGGATCTCATTGACTATCTATCCTACAATAACTGGAAAAGGGCCTGAAATTCCTCCATTTTTCTTCAAAAAAGCTCCCCCAGACGCCGGGGAAACAGACATTTAAAAGTTCCAATCAATAATATTGTCTGTTCGTCCTCTTTCTGGTGGTTATTCTTCTCTATGTCCCGCAGTTTTGCAGATGATGTTTGATTTTTCCTTTTGTTTACTTCATTAAGACTGTCATTGCGCATAAAACACTGTCGCTTTCAGTGGAAACGGACAGACTTTATTGTCCTTCAGTAAAACAACAAAGCGTTTTCAATTTTAGGAATTGGATAGTTTTTTTTTGGCGCCCATTTTACTACAAAACCGGCCCGCGAGGTAATATTAAAGGGTGCATTCCACCAAATCGTTATATTTCTGCGCGCGAACTCATTCATTTACAGTGATCCCATGGGGTTTTTGATTATCATTTTTATTTTATTTCCATTTGGTTGCAACCCGAAGGTTGAATTATGAAGTGGTTACATAAATGAATATATTTAAAGATACGGATTGCACAAGACACATACGAAAGCACTATTAAAAATAAAAAAGGGTCCGTAAATAGAACAGGCGGCGCTAGTTTGGTCTGATTTTGCACTGTTTTCTATTGGTGCATATTTGGTGCAGTGCAACCTTTATCCAGTTCTGAACATGCGCGCGTTGTTCTGAGCATGCGTATGTACATGTAGTTCTGAGCACGTGCAATAAAGCCTGAAAGTAAAAGGTCGCACAGCGAGCTTCCGGAACCCTCGCGAGGTCGCGAAGTTCGATAATTTTTTTAAAATAATTCCTTACTGAAACCACCCCATGAAACACTCATGTTGGAATTTTACCTTTGTTTCCCTCAAGTAATATTTTGGAAAAGTCACCTGGAGTTGGGTAAAAAACGAATTTTATTAACGACCTTTCACGTCCGACGATATCGTACCTCGGTCTCCTTGTTCATGTACATTTGTTTTCACTCGGCGTGCTTACTTGAAAATGAGATTGTACGACCTTGCAAAGATTTACCTACCTGCAATCGATGAGTTCCAGATTCCGTTGAGTTGACATCACGTAGTTGTTGTCAGCAAGTTAGATAACATATTAAAATCTTTCGCAAAAGCAGAATATTGCCTTATGTTTATTACTTTATAAATTATCAAAATGTGCAAAATATTTTGATCTGTTTTTATTTTGTTTTTTACCCAGAGACTGCCATAAAAAAAATCTGCGTACGAGAATGTCGTATTGCACGGTTCTTCATGTATTTTAGATTTTCGGAAGTGATGGGTCAATTTTTGGCAGGATATTTCTCTTTCATGCTCAGGTGATTATTCAGTTTCTATAAATTGATATACTAACAAATATTTTTCAAAGCCCTCTTTTCAAGTTGGATTTTTTTAAGAAGAAACTGAACGAAAAATATTACAGATTCTAAAATCTTTGCACGTTATTTTTCCTATCCAAGGGTTCCAGAAGCGCACCATCAGAGGTCAACTTTCAGGCCCCTTACACTGAAAAAGAACCAGTGGGCCTATGTCTGTTGCATGCTCCCAGCGTCTCCGATTAGATATGCATATGCAACGCGATGATCCCCACTCGCAACAACCGGTATGGGAAGCCGTGGCTTGTTCAGAGATATTAATATTCAGCCCAACCGTCTAAATTAAATGAAACGGCAACGCCCTCATTGTGACTTAGCGAGAAGGGAAGGCACAAATGTAGCCCACAAACAAATGCAACTATTATCATCAATCACTGACGTCTTTGGATAAGACTAACATTGACAAGATTTTAGTGCCAGGGACGTCAAATCAAAAGAAAAGTAAAATAAAAAATATGGACTCGTTCCTTAATGCCCTTTTTCAGTCGACACAGGTCATTGAAGTCACTGTTGGCCATCTTACCGTGCCGAATATAAAGGGAATACAAAGGCTCGCTCGAAATTGTTAACCAAAATCGTTCATGACAACAACGTAGGCCTACATGTGAATTGTACGTCGATTGTGTTGACTTTATTTACTTCGGGCCCCGCAGCGATCCGTCATAAATACATGTACGTGAAATTAGGCAATCGAGGCAATCCTGTATTGAGCGGTCCTGAAATGGGCGCCCCACATAACTTGTCTTATTGGCTTCCCTGGGGCAGATACCCCATTGCAACTACCCCCTGATCCGCCCTTGCTGATGTAGTGTAGACTTAGACTGTCGATCACGATATTCCTGGCAGTTACTGGCGGTCACATCACGACCGGGTCGTATAACGTCTCTTAATTATGCAATCAGTTAGGCATGATGCAAGTCAAATACAACGGGTGCCGCGCATCGTTTTATATCACTTCACTCCTACTTGGTCTTCAGGGAGTTAGGCCTTCTGGAAGTTTCGGTCGTCATGGATGAACACGGAGAAGGGTCGATGTCGAATGAGTTTGCTCCCGACGACTCCGAGACGTTCTGTCCGATACAAGATGCACCGATACTCAATCTCTCGGATCCGAGTCTCGCTACTCGCTACGAGTATGACTCAGTTCAGACAGCATTGGTCACCATCGTTTACCCTTGCATCTGTGTTTTCGGTATTCTGACCAACTCAGCATTCCTGTTCACAGTTGTTCGGGTGCCGTACATGAGGACTATAACCAACATCTATCTAGGTAATTTGGCGGTGTCGGATATCTTGTTTCTATCCACAGGTAAGACATTATGATTAACGCCAGGGCTACTTTAGGGTACGTTCTCCACCAATTTCTCTTCTTTATTGTACTCTGTGTTGAATGTGTTTGTCTCATTTAAATAAGCTCCACATCATGCTGAAATCGAAATCTTGTGTTTTTCCTAAAATCTGAAATTATTTTGTTAACAATTAAGAGATGTTTTCAGCAGTTACACCTTTATAAGTGTTTAAAGTAATTTTGACACTAATTTGTGAAAATCGAATTTGAGCATCACGTATTTTCCGAGACAGGTCAGCCAAAAATGTATACTTTTCCACTGTAGCGCTCATTCTGTACGAGTACCAGGCAGTTGTGGATTCCAATACCACCCGAACAAACTTTTTGGGTGGAGGGGGCGCAACTCTTGGTACACACCGAGAATACGTTGTAAATGCATACGTTCGTGTGAGGGTATACCCTAATATTATGAGATTCGTGGACATTGCGGTTTTCCATCCTTTCAGCTTAGACAATGAGAAGTAGTCAGCTCGCTAATTTATGCATTAGGCCAGCATATAGGCCGTGCTCATGTTAATGCGTGAAAAATGCACAATGCACAGCTGTTAATGCCTGTATGCCTATATGCATGATGTACAAAATTTACATACATAAAATGGTAAATTTAGCAAATAAGGCTCCTTCTTGGACAATTGGACATTGTATGGGCAATGAACCTTACAAGCATAGCTGTGGAAAGCCTCGCTTTTTTAGTCGTGCAAATGCGATATAAGCATCTTTCACCGTGTGTGCAGTATATGAAATTGAAACCATGCCAATAAATCTAACAATAAATACCTCCCCGTTATGATTCTGCTCTGCCCTTGTCATGCATCATGTATTTTGATGCAAACAATTTATATAGTTGGGCTATGAGCCGACTATTACCTGTCGGGGATTTGAATGGTTCGATCCAAACGAGTTTACTTTCGAACACACCGCTTTGCGTGATCCAGTGAGTTACCACTGGCTACACTCTAGAAGTCGATCTCTATTATGCCCAAAATTTAAAACTTCACGATCTTCACAACGATTGTCCATCTGGACCGATGACGTTTACGACGACATGAGCAAAAATACAGACAAAATAATATGATTTTTCAAACTACCCCCCCATCACCCACTTTATGACCCGAGAAACAAAAAAAGTCATCGGGAAATTTAAAGATGAATTTGAAGGTAGAGTTGTGAGCAGAAGCGTTTGTATAAGACCAAAGATGCACTCCATTTTAACAACCGATGACGTTAATGTTAAAAAGCTAAAGGTGTCACAAAGGAAGTGACTGCACAAGAATTAACCCACAATCATTACAGAGATTGTCTGTTTCTTCAAGAATCAATTAGGCTACCTTTAAACAGTACCGTATAAACTCTAAAATCACATTTTGTACACGATGTCGCAGGATAATTTGTCGTTGTGTCGTCTAGACACAAAAAGATACATGTTGTCCTATGGGCTAAAAACGCTAGCATTTTGTACCTGACGGTGTCTTCTGGCACTACTTGCGCTTCCAAACGAGCGATTGGGCCCTTTATATTGGTAGTAAAGCGTAGGACCTGTCGTTACTTTCTACCGTTGACCTGTTTAAACTGACTGGTTTTCTTTTCGATTTGGTATACGTCAACGCTCCAAATTGGATCAGTGGTACTTTTGACTGTGCCTCCCTCTTTTTCGCCCGATTTGTATAAATTTCTCACCAAAGCGTCATTGGGCAAAGGGATTTCTTTTGTTTTAAGGGAGTGAAGCCGCTGCCAACTGTTTCACGCTCACCCGATCCGACCACCCACCATTACTTTTAAGTGAGGCCTAAGCAGCATAATAGCCATGCAATAACTGTGACGCTAATATATTATCGTATGATGCAATACAGATGGCAAAGTTAAAAAGTGAGGTTTGTTCGAGCCTTCTGCGTGCAAACTTTCGTGACGATGGCTAGTCTCACTTATAAGTTTGCCTACTGTATTGCATCATACGATAATATATTAGCATCACAGTTTTTGCATGCAATTTTGCTGCACAGGTCTCACTTATAAATAGCGGTGGGTAGTCGAATCAGATGCGGCCTCGGTATGTATAGCTCGATGCAAGCAAATAAATTTAACTTTTAACGATCATGACAAAGTCGTTAAGTCAATTGACACGGCTGCACAATACTCGATCTCAGACTTGGCGTTAGAATACGAAGTAGGCCTAGTGACCAACCGAGAACTCGCCGGCCAAACCACAAGTAACAAGCAACGCGGTCAAATAATATCATTTGTTTGAACGTGTCCACAATTTAGAAACAAGTCAGACACCCTGCGGAACACTGTGATAAACCAACCCCTTTTAGAGTTTGAAAGGGATCTTGTTTCTATGGAAAAAGCCAACCATCAAGAACTCCAAGGGAGTTTATAATCCTAACGTGACAAAACTGTTGTTACTGTAGAAGTTAAGCCTAACCAACTTTATTTGTAAGGTATGTTTCAAAACCAGCAGCACTGTTTAGAAGCGTCCAATTTTTTTTCAAGAGCTAGGAACCCAGACAGACGTTTATCCAAGTGACTACCTTAAAGACAGGTATGGTCTTTGGCTCGGTTTTAGAAGCACAGACGACAACACAGCTCATGGATCGGGAAGACAAATTGGCGACTTTGGAGGCATCAGTGTACAAATGACAAGAGAAGCTGAAAGCCCCGGTTCACTCACGATGTATGTGTTTCTATTGCTGGACGCACCTCTCACCATCGAAGACGGAAATTTCAAATAGCTGGCATATTAATTTTTAAAACCTCTAATAATAATAAATAATAAATTAATAAATAACGACTTCAAGCATGGAACCCAGGGAAGGCTCCGCTTTAATAGTCGGCAAAGCAAACTCGGGTAAAACCAAATGGGTCTTGGACCTATTAGAAACCAGGTACCAAAACTCGATTGAAGTGATTGTGGTTGTTTGCTCCACACTTTTCAAAACAAAACTTACCTTAAAAGCCGCTGGTTGTTAACCGATCCCAACGTGTACCTATGTGACATTGACCGAGAAAATTGGAGCTAAACGAAGCGATCTATTTATATCGCGGGTCTTTTGACCAAGCGTTAGACGAGAACGATATGGTTCCATATGACAACTAACTCGCTTGAAACGACACTTGCGAGATGTGCAGTGTAGTAACTTGGTTAAAAAAAAGAGATCCACCCGTTACATAGGCCTACTTACTTTTGTAAATATATATATATATATATATATTTCGTGACATAGTAAATTATGTAAACAATGACAACGGAAACAAAATTGTGTAGTAAGTGTAAAAAAAGCTATTACCGACTTTAAAGTGAAAATAAACGGTTAATATTGAATGGCACAGGTGTATAAAGATCGGTGTAATGCCCTCATGGTTAGCCAAAAAAAATAATGCGTCGATTGTTGTGTTTCAAGTATTTGCGGACATAAACCACCAAAAGAGTTCTCATAAACTCTGTAGTGACCCTATATTGAGATTACTCTTTGCCCATATGGATATCTAACTGAGTTGATAACGAACACAACTGCTTTGATCCAGATCGATTTACAGACACAGTAAGAGGGCTAATTGAAGATTATGAGTGCTGTTTCTATAACGACTGTAAAGTGAAACTCCCATTTTTAAAACGTAAATCCGACTTGGGGACCAATTCAACAGTTAGATAATTCAATAGGTCACATCAAGTCAAATTGTGTTTGGTGCTATCTTAGTTGCAACCTTAAAAAGAAGTCAAATAAAAATAATAAATAGCTTGTTGCAACACAACTGAATTAATTGAATTTCAACAATTGAAATTTGTTGAGAGTTGCTGATTGTTTGTCAAAGATTTGTTGATAAAGTGTTGGCAAATGTATATGTTATTTATTAAATAAATGAAAGCTATGCTCAAATACATCGATTTAGTTGTTGGAATTAGTTATAGCAGTCAACTTATCGTATTACGCCTACGATTGTCTGCGTTGAAAAACTGTGTTCAACTGATTAAAACAGATATGGTATTTATTGAAAAATGGACGGCATCAAGACAATTTTATGTAAAATTGACACAGGGTCCTTTAAAGATTGTTTAAGTGTGGTAATTGCTTCTGGAGACTCTAAAAAATACTTTGGGAAAGAATACACCGTTAAAGAAATTGAAGCTTTAGACCCCCAGCAAAAAAAGCTTTATCAGCGTTACTCAGTCAAATTTGGCAGAGAGCAACAGTGGGGAAAGCTTACGGAGTCTTTACTCAACTTTGCTGGGTGTAGCTTTGCCGATCGATTTTTTAGGCCACAGCGTTACATTTATAGACCCAAAGAAAAACTAGCAAATAGCCTAGAAGCAGATTCCATCCTTACCCAAAGCTTGGGAGCTCTTCTTACTGAAGTTTGTAAGTATGGATCATATCCGTCACCTGTAGTTGCGAAATTTATTACAACAAAACATCTTAGTTCCAACAAAAACTTGGTATTATTAAAAACAAGTGTAGTTATGGAGGAGCAGCAACGGGAGGAATCGAAACAGCCACACAAGTGACCAAGACCAAAAATCCTAAACGAATTGCCCATGGTAACAAGGTAGCAGAACACAATAAGAAAATGAAAGTGAAATTGGCCATACTAAAACAAAACGAACCTAACGAAAGTCCAACCTTCTCGTTTAACGTGGGGGGGGGTTGATCGCAAGAGTCGTGGAAGATATTGTGATCGTTAACGGGGATTAAGGACGTTAGGCGGTGGGCCCATAACAATCGTGGGAAGCCCCATACCCCTGCAATCCCCTAGAGCCAGAATCTCTCGTTATGGATTGAATTTTTAACTCTTCTGTTACTAAAAACGAATAACAATGAGTAACGTAAACGATATCGCAAACACAATTTACCATGGGGCTGTATTAAGCGTTCTTTCCATGGGATATGCCATGCTCGGCAAAAAGTGTTAAAAATAACATCGCCCAACTTGGACAGACTCTGTGTGGAAGATGATGCCAAATTTAC